CGCTGCTAAAGGGTTTCTTTCCCTCCCGTAGCGTTCTTGAAATGCGGCGCTGACCTCCAGCCGGTTACGGGCCCCGGCCTTCCTTCCCCCCCCGCCTTCCGCCATGGCAGCCCGCTTGGTGCGACGCTGCTGCTGGCGGCACTTCGGTGCTTTCGTCTCTACCCCTTCCGCGGGGCCCGCGCTCCGCCGGCCGGGAAGGCGGCGACGGCAAGAGCTTTGCCTCAAGCGCCTTTCACTTTATTTCATACTTCAAGCCCTTCCAGCTGGGCAGACGGATTCTCGGTCAAAGAGCAGGTGGAGGACAGCAGAAATCCGGAGCACAAAGTGATCGGGGAACTGATCGAAACAGCCACGAGTCCTCAGGAACTCTTCCAGTTGAGCGAATTCCATGCTCTTAATAGCAACCAAGCCTCGCTAATAATTACTCAACTTTCCCGACTTGCGGTGGAAAAAAACCTGGCAGCGGAGAGCATTCTGCGAGATGAACGCTTCCAACGGCTCGTCGGCATCACGGATTCCCAGGTAAGTTCCCTCCTTGCCGCAGAAGCGCTTTGGGGAAAGAACACGAGGTGGAAAGCGGACGGTGCTCCTGGGATTGAACCGGCGTGGCCGGCCGGAGCCTGCTTAGGGTTTGTGCTTCGCCTTTCCGAGTAAAAGATGAAGTTGAGGGGACCAGGAGGCGAAATTATCGGCTCTAGGCAGGATGCCTGATTATTTCTATCTAAAAGCGCTGCTTTTTGGACCAGAAACAAAATGTAGCGGAGGGATCGTCCTTGTTAAACGCTACCTTACTCCTGCTCCCATGAATTTTTAGTTTTCCCGGTGAGATAAAGCTGCACCTTTGCCAGTTCGTGGCAAAGACGCGTCAGAGCCACGCAGCCGGGCAGTGGCGGAGCCACCGGGTGAGACGGGGCATCCGAAGGGAACCGGTGCGCCGTGCTCGGCACGTCGTGCTCTCAAACCTCGGCAGCCCTGTCCAATTCAGCGCCGTCCGCTGCGGTCGGTGCTGGCCCAGCCGGCTGCTACGGAAATACCTGCAGCTCGTGGGCCCCACGTCGTGGGATCGCGGGATGGTTTGGGTGGGAAGGGACCTCTAAAGGCCATCTAGTCCAACCCCCCTGCCGTGGGCAGGGACATCTTCAACCAGATCAGGTTGCTCAGAGCCCCGTCCAACCTGACCTGGAATGTGTCCAGGGATGGGGCAGCCACCACCTCTCTGGGAAACCTGGGCCAGTGTTTCACCACCCTCAGCGTGAAAAATTTCTTCCTTATGTCCAATCTAAATCTGCCCTCTGTCAGTTTAAAGCCGTTCCCCCTTGTCCCGTCACTACAGGCCCTGCTAAAAAGTCCCTCCCCATCTTTCTTACAAGCCCCCTTTAAGTACTGACAGGCCACAACAAGGTCTCCCCGGAGCCTTCTCTTCTCCAGAGAGCTGAGTAGAGGGGCAGAATCCCCTCCCTCGACCTGCTGGCCGC